TTAAATCTGGATCCCGCATCAGAGGCTGACTCTGCCCCTCTCCTCATCCCCATGAGCCAGCAGCTTTAGAATCTGCAAGGTCCACACAGCCCCAGCACTGCTGCAGGACCAGGCAGGGACTCAGTCAGTTCTGTGACAACTTCACTGTCACAGACAGGACTCTGGCGGGATAGGGCAATATGCCAAAGATCACACAGTGCTTTTCTGTTTACATGGAAGCATGAAAGTGTTCATCTTTATGTTCTTCACTTTTCATCTCTTGGTGTTGGTCCTGTGTGACACAGCAGAGCAAAAGAAATTCACGCTGAAAAGGAGAAAACCAACACCAAAACAAAGAAAGTCTGTAATATTGGCGTTCCATCTTCCACATGCCGTAGGGAAGAGGAGAGTCTGAACTTGGGGTACAAGTTGCTGCAGCTGCACGAGATTTTGCCAGTACTCCCCTCCCTGACTGCAACCTCAAGGGGATCTGTGCAAATAAAGTCCCTTTCCTCCTGCTGTGAGTGAGTGGGGGCAGGCCAGAGTGGCTGGGGCAGGTGCACACCCGGTTGGGCTGATTGTGCAGTCGATGAAGGAGCACCAGGCACAAGCTTTCTGCAGCTGAGTTTTTGGTGGGATCCCTCAGCAACTCTGGATGGCGAGGACTCTGCCAACACTGGCTGAGCAGTTGCTTGCTAATTAAGTAGGCATAAGCTCCAGCCAACTCTGCTGTCTCACTCTAGCTCTGATCTACCCGGTGTCTTATGCCTTCCACCACATCAACTGATTGGATTAATTGCTGTGCAGCTGGGATGAGAGGGGGGAGAACTGGGAGCAGATGAAAGCTTTTATGCTGCTTCCATTTGCCTTCAGATCATTACTCCTCACTTTGCCGAGAGTTCTCTGGCTTGCTACATCTCCCACGCTACTTTGTCATCTGCTAGCATGGCTATAGACTGCTAGCTTCTTGCCACAAATAAAGAAAATTAAAATCTCATGGAAAAGTCCTGCCAGAAACCTTGGTTTTTAAACTAGCTGTTGCAGCCTGATCTAAACACACTGGGAGGAAAGTGCCAGTTTTACTCCTGTGACAGGTGAACATACCTGATCAAAGAGTTCTAAGGTATCAAGGCTGAGATACCCCCGTTGCTTTCAGGGAAAAATCTATTTTAAACTTTTCTCTTAGCCAGCATTTCTGTAGGAAAAAAAAAAAATGAAAGAAATAAAAGGGCTTGAGGCTAAACTTGATCCCTGCAGTCTGCACATTTCAATACTGGAAGGCTGTGACTCAGTGGCCTCTGGAAGCTCTCCAAGCTATGAGTAGCTTGAAGGAGGAATTAAAAACTCAACGAACTGCCTGTTTTCCTGAAACTTGTTTTGTACATGCTATGGAAGAGATGAGAGATTTGGAAGAAGCAGACCCTGTCCAAGAATCATTGGCTACAACAAGTCACAGCAAGCAATGAATGTTTATGTTATTAAAATGCTTAGACATTTTTTAATGAGCCTTTTTACCAAGTTTGTGTGGAAGAATTTGCCAAATACCATGTGCACTGTAATAAATCCCAAGGTACCCAATAGGCTTCCCCACTTGGTCTTCTGTCCCTGACAGTCTGCGTAGAAATGTCAGATTTAGAATACCTGTTTTCCATCCGAAAATGAGGACAGACAGCACGGGAGTAGCATTCCCGTGGATTTTCCAGACATTTGGAAAAGCTGATGTGAACAGAAGTATGTCCTGTTCTAGCCTACGAAACCAGGCTTGAGGGTGGCAGGAGGAATTGCTGGAAGACAAGTCTAAGGCTGGATGTTAGGCAATCAGTTCATCAGAGCTTGGAGAAGAAGATGCTTCCTTCAGTTGAGTCTCTGCTTCTAGGCAAGAGTAGGCCTTGTTTCACTATACAGTCTTAGTCCCCTGATATGCTCTGCCTCATCCCAAATTCATGTCATGTGGAGATCATGGGCCTTTTCACCCCTGAGGGCTAAGATTTATTGAAGTTATTTCTTCTATTAAAATAGGAAACAAACTAAAAGTCTCTGGATGCTTCAGGAAACCACTCAGGAAAAGAGATGCGGTACTTGCTGAAAGTAGAGCCTGTAAGCCAAATTGAGGAAGTGATCTGCTCTTACAAGTGCCTCACTTGGAAAAAGAGAATGTTAAGAAAAGGCAGCACCATGGCTTGGTGCTTTCAGATGTGGCTTCACAGTGCATTCCTGACCACAACCAGGAAACAGCTCCCTACCCATTTTTCCACATTTTTCCAGTTCTCAAGAGTAAGCGTTGGCTGAGCTGGCCTACCCAAGAAAAAGACTCAGTGAAGGGATCCTTCCAGTTGAAGCGAAAGCCATCACTTTCATTCATGTTGTGATGCTGGGACTTAGTCCTGCTGTGCCTCAGTAGTGTAATCTGAAATGATCGGCCTAAAGTTTTCCAGAGAAGGAAATTAATGTTGCTTTTAAAAGCTGGAATATGCTGTCTTCTTGGAGGAGGAGGTGGCCTGTATATCCTCACTGACAAATTAAACATAAAGATTTTGATCAAGCCTGATATGCAATAGCCAGAACTGGTTGGAAAGTGTTCAGCTGCCTCTTTCCATGTGGATTCTTTGGTCAGAAAGTGCTCATTTGCTGAAACTGAAATATATTTTCTAAGAATATGTGGTAGTTCAAACAAAGGTTTAGCTGGAAAAGGCTTTCTGCTTTCTAAAGGAGGGTGTTTCTGGTTAATGGGGTGAGAGGGAATCACTGAATGTAACTACCAGCTTTGTGAATTCAGTCCCTCAGCTGAAATACAGCAGAATCCAGGTCATGCCCTTGCTCCTCCAAATGCATCTGTCTCATTCAAAGTGGAAAAGTCCCAGCAGGAAGGACTCACACAAGGATCTGCTGGGCCTTCATAGTGCCTTGGCACAGAAATCACCAAGCCTTAAAATCCGATATTATAAAGAAATTCTCTTATTGGCTGTCCTCATGCCCTTGTGTTATTTTTATTCAGTTTTATCACTGGAAAGATAGATGATTTGACATGTTTTTAAATATCAAGGAGTTTCATCGACTAGAGGAAGCCACATCCAGTCATGGCCATGACTGACATCATGTTCCCACTCTGCTCACAGTGCAGGAGGTGTCTGTCTGGATCTTATAAAGGAGATCCTTGAAAAGGGAAGGTACAGAGACTGTAGCATGAATGAGCAAGTCTGCAAGGTGACAAGCCAACACACTGGTGTGGACAGAAGTAGCTCGCTACAGAGAACCCATAAACTACCTACCCCAGCAATAACGAAGCTATTGCTAATCCCAGCTATCTCCAGGTTTGCTGGGATTAGCAATAGCACTTGAACTGCCTTTGCTTCCTCCCCTTGTGCTGCAGCTAGGTGTATTTTTAAGGGAGAAATTATTTTCTTTGACTTTTGCTCACTTGCAAGTATTTGCCCGAGGAGAGAAGTTGTGTTGAAGCTTTAATGCTCCCCAAAACTTGCATGTAGACATGCTTGCTTGTAGACCACATGCTGATGTCCTGGTAGTTGCTAGAGCAACAAAACTAAAATTGGGTTCAGGTGGGCAGGCCAAGAGGAAGCACTAATTTATCAAGCCAACCTGCCCTGGCTTCTGTTTCCCCTCTCCCCATCCCTGAAAGTAAAGTATTAGTTTTATTGTAGCCTTTCAACTATGTAAATTGTGTTGCATGGGCAATATCCAACCAATTATGGAGTGAGCAGATGTTTTTCACAATAATGCAACAAACATTACTTTTTTTTTGGCCTTTGCCTTAACGATCATTTTCATCTCCTGATGAATTTCATGTGTGTGACTCTAGTATGTCTGTCTTGTAGAGATTGTCCCATTAAAGGTGTCTGAGATAATTTCTTCATTGTTGTTCATGAAAGGTTGCTTCCTCTGTGTCCTGGTAACGGCAGATATATCTAGCAGCTGTTTACAGGATACTTTCTGTGCGATTTGATAGTGCTGAGTGGCAGAAGACATGATTTGCCCCGTGTAACACCTTGGTCTCCTGCAGCATTGTTGTCCTCACCTGCTGGCCCTGGTTGCTTCCATGACCTGCAGCAGACCCAAGGGGAGCAAGACATGGGGCAAGAGCAGAGCGCACAGGGGAACGGGTCATGCACAAGTGGTGGGTCTGTACCAACAGGCTTTCAGTTCTTTATGCATTGGCTCCATCACAAAGCTTAACTGCAGGCAGTTTGGAAGTCCCCTGGTGAAAACTGAGTTGTGTGGCTGCTGCTGGCTGGTAGGGAGCGGAGCAGGAAAGTGAGCAGCGACATGGCAGAGCTCAGAGCATGGCGCACCTTCTCCTGCCCATTTGCACCCTTTTAAAGGAAATTAAAAAAAAATAATAATTCTGAGATAAAATTTCAAATTGTCATTTCCGAGTTTCATTTTCATCTCAGAACAAAACAAAGCATCATCCAGTGCCTTAGTCTTAATTTGTTGCTGAACTTCAAGCCCAGTTTACAGGAGGAGTCTGGTGGCACTTTGTTTGCCGGGCTGGTTTCAAGCCAGGCCAGGACTCGGCCAGCTTGCCAGGTAGATCTCCCAAGTTCTTGGCAGCCACATCATGGTATTTGCAAGGGCACACAGTCATGCTGACTCTCTGTCCTGTTGTCACTGTCTCTTCCTTGCCACCCTGATGTCTTTTAAGCCTTTGTGCCAATGTCAGACCTATGGGGGAAAGGAAGAGTTTGCTTCCAGTGTGTTCACATCATACACTGCTTCCTCCAGCTGCAAGCTGTGGGGTGTGGGAGTACCTTTGGGTTCCTCTAGGAACGTACAGGATTACTGCAATGAGAAAACCACTGCAGATTCTTCAAAAAGCCTGGATTTCTTCGTTGTACTTCTCGCGAACAACTTGTGTTGTTATTCCTTGTGTTTTTGCAGCTGGAAGAACAGGGTGGTGCTGCAGATTCTTAGTGACTTGTAGGCTAGAGGCACAATGGGCAGTACCAAGGGAAGGAAAATATTAATGAGTAATCTTTCAAAAGTATCTTTCTTCTTTATTCCAGAGTCTCCTGAAATTGGACCTTCAGTTGTAGTTCACACAACTGTGACATTTGGGAGTGAGCACCTGGATTCAGACCCTGCAGAGGTACAGCAGTTAATTCTCAGCCACCTGGAAAGCATTATGCCATCTCTGCCCAAACCAGCTAGTGTCAAGTGTCAGAAATGGAGATACTCACAGGTAACACATGGGTGAACAAGCATCTGGGAGGGTGCTGCCTGGTTAATGCCATAGTACAGACTTTGAGGGCATCACAAGAAACAGAACATCCTACAGTCCAGTGGTTTTCATCCTCAAGAAGAAAGGATATCGTCATTTGATATCCTTATTGTATTCCTCCACGTAGCCTAGAGCAGCATTCAAGGCTGGCCAGGTACAGCCAAACCATTTCTAGTAATCTTTTCACATAGTGGACCTGGCTTAGTAGTAAGTTATGCAACACTCCTGATAAATTGGAATGGGAGCAGTGCACAGGAAGGAAGCAAATCCCACATGCTTTGCTGGGATTTTTGTTGGTATTTAAGAATATGACTAAGTCTGTCTCTTCTGCATCCGAAAGTATGTGATACTATTAGCAAAATTCCCACCCTACCACAGAGTAGCAGAAGTTCTTGTGTTTGGACATACTCCAAATTTGTTATTATTTTATTTGGCCCAGTTCAATTCAACAGTATGCTATACATTAAGTATACTAAAGTAAACTCTCTAAGGGTAATAATAGCAAAATATGTAGATTTTACATACTTCTCTTAAAAATCCAAGGAAATTGTTGGCAATTTCCTCAAGTATTGGAGTATATCTACATGTTTACCCAAAGCCTCTTAAGTTAAATTACACTGGTGAAATTGAATGTGGAAATTGGTGCAAAATATTTACGTAAAGCAGTTCCCTAAAAATTTTTCATTTTATGAAGTCTAGAAAAGTTACTGTAGATGACTGCTGTGAAGTCTGCTCATACCCCTTGATCTGTATCCAATCTAAGAGCCTGGTCTCATTAGCACAAAGTTTATTTTTCTGTGAGTTAGGTATTGTTAGTTTGCAAATTACTTCTCAGTACATAGTATTTGTTGTCAGTTGATGTATAAAGATGATCTTAATATTTCATGTTTTAGATTCCTCATATTACAATGATATTTCATCAAACACCTATGCTTCCTGAATCATAGCTAATTAATTTCTTTCCTTATGGTCGGAGAACATTTATTATAAATTTATACCTATAGCTTCATCTTTTAGAGGTAGTTGGAACAGGAATGAACGCTTATTTTCCACAATTGCTTCAAATTTGTCATCTTTCTAAATTACTAGGTATGCGTCCTGGTTCCCCTATTTAAAAATTAGATTCAGATATCATATTGCTGGACAATTATCTGTTATTTTCTTAAACACCAAAACACTGTACAGCTTACAGGTCTTCCCACTTTCTTCTGCCACTGTTGCCTACTATACTATGCTGCTACTAATCAAAATCACCTATTCCAGCATCTGCGTGTGCTTTATATCTGTGTCACAGGAAGAATTATCACCAATCTGTAACTCGGTGGTTGAATGTGGACATATCCTAGGTTGCAAATAAGTTAGCATAGGTCAGATCAGTTTTCTCAATAAAAGATCTCTATCACCAGGTGGGGACCCTATAAAATAATCCCTGCCTAAATTAAATATCTGAGACAGAGTTCCCTTTTTGTCTTACAGCTATCTTTACTTTCAATTATAAAAAGCTGTTGCCGAGGAAGCAAAGGCAACTGATAAGATGGGTGCATCTTTCCCCTGACTCTTTCAGACTGGATTTATCCTGCTTATTAATTAAATCCATCTGTAGCATCTTTCACATCACCAAACATAATCCTGGGATTAAAGCACAGACATTATGATTATCCATGGCAGATGAGGGACTAGGACTTCCAAACTTCTACTGACACTACTTAGCGGCACAGCTGCAATTCTGTATCTCCTGCTTTAACTACAATAAGACACTATTAGCATTCAGAGCCAGCAGCTTCCTAGCCACCATGTTCCTTTGACAGTCACTTTGTAAGGGAGATTGGCAAAACACTGAATCACAGAAATTGGACCTGTTTAGAGAAGACCTCTGAAAGGATCTCTTCAGGTCTCTAGTCCAACCTTTTGCTCAAAGCAGAACTGTTGTCAAGACTGGATCAATCTCCACCGTGGCTTTGTCTAGCTGAGCATTGAAGTCTTCCAAGGTTGGAGATGGAACAGGCTGTGCTGTGTAGCTGACAGTAATTTGGAATTCATTTTGTACAGCACCTTTAGAGGAACTCGAAGAAGGGACAGAATCATTCCTCTTCCCAGTCACTCTATTTATGATTACTCCTATATTACTATTATTGCATAATACATGTATTACTATATCGAGCATAGCCTTGCCACACAGGCAAAGAGATGCAGTCTGAGATGTGAACGTATCGATCCTTTGATCAGTATGACAAATCAGAAACTGTTCAGTACAGCCAGCATTGAAAAAGCATTGGGTATTAAAGACGGAAGAACACTCCAGAAGCCTTTTCGTGCTAAACGTCTCTTCATTATATGTGCTCTGTGCCCTCAGTCTAATAGAAAATTGTAGGCATAAATTAGCTTCTGATGTAAAGTTAGAGAAAGAAGGTCTCTTGCCAGATTGACACTACGCAGCTAGACTCCTCCATCAACTTGAGTAATAGATGAATGAATGGATCACAACTGGCTACAAATTCATTTCAGGTACTTTTTTCCTTTAAAGAACATGCTAACATTCTGGTAACACACAGTACAGCCAGTAACATAAGTGTGGGTGTTTGGCAGATGATGTGTTCTTGGAAAAGGCAACTAGAAGCACGGCAGTGGCTAGAATTCAGCTCCCTGCTTCTTTCAGTTCCTGTAATGCTGCATGTCTTCCTTGTCTGTGTTTGTGACCCTCCTGCCACTGGGAGAGTGGATCCATTCTGCTGGCTTCTTGTTCCCCCACATTTATGGCTGTCTGGGATTTTTGGTTAGACTTGGCTAGACTCACAGTGTCTGCTGTTGGCAATGTACACCTGTGCATTACGTCTCACGTTTCCTCTCTACATATGCATATGTGTGCAGGCTAAAACTAATGCTTTTTTAGTGAGAATCATTTTTGGTACTGCACTGATTTCCATGGCAGCTCTCAGGCTCTGGGTCTTTTTCTTGCCAATGGTAATCTACATGTGAGTCAATGGAAAAATCCCCTGGGCTCAGCAAGATATCTTGGACTCCAGATCTTGTTCACTGAATTTAATGCTTGCACAATGGGATACAGTAATGGTTTACTGCACAGGAATCCAAAACATATCTTTGGACCAAAAATAAGGCATAAAATAAAGGAGCCATGGAAATAAAACTGCATTCTCCATATCATGCCATATGATCTCTTTGGTTCGATCTCTGTTTCTACTCTACCCTATTGTTGTGCTTCCTTTTTCCCTCTGTCATTCTAGATATTTTTCTTCTATTTCAACATTTCATCCTTATAGGTCTTGTTTTGTCATTCCTTTTGTCATAATTCCCACCTTCCTCCCCTTATCACTACATCATCAAGCTCTCCATCATCTTCTCATCTTTTTTTTTTCTCTGACTGACCCTGCTTTGGTGTCGTGCTTACCAGTGCTGCTCCTGCTACCTTACCTCCTTTCTGAGATACATCGGTGCTGCTCTAGGATGTACTGACTTGGTACAATGTGGACATTTGGTCTTTGTACATAGGTTTGAAACAGTTGAGAATGTGACACAGCAAAGCATGGTTAAAACACAAGTGCTTTGTGCGTTTACTCCGCTGTTTGACACACACTGAAATTTGTCATAAAGTACAATACTGAAAAGAGATCTTTTCTCCATGAGTTAGATGTAGCTTCAGCTTAATAGATATTGGTAAAGCGAAGTCTGTTAAATTTTAGAAAAGCCACTCCACAAATACACAAATACAAGTTTAATCAAGGGTATAGTGCCTGGAATATTATTTTTTAAATAAATACGGTTCATGCATTGAGAATGACATTAAATATTTATCAAAGCAACCTTGTTCAGAACTTGTCATCATATTATTTACAAAGTGTTGATTGTATCTCGGGCAATATCTAAAAAGCTTTAGTGCTACTCTACTCCAATAAAAGAGGAGGTCAATGCAGGAGAGCTAGAGTCCCAAGACATATGCATGGAGCACAGACAGGTCATTATAACAGTCATTCCACTAAAGTCCACCTCACTTCCCATCTGGGAAGGTCATCTGGTCAAGCCGATTGTGTTGCAGGCTCTCTCAGAAATGGCAGGATCCTCTTCCTTCTCCAGCCCTGCCATCCCACCCAACAGATCTCAGAAGAACCAACAGAGAGTAAATATATAGGGAAAAGGAACAGAGGCAGATTATGTGAGTCTCTGTTGGCTTCTCTGTGGTTCGTTGTTACTGACCTGCTGTCCATTAAGTCATGGCATGGCATCACAGTGATTCTAAATCAAGAAAGCTCCATGGGATAACATAAAAATCCACTGGCTTCTCTGTGCTGCTGTGTCATGAGTGGTGTCTCTTGCAGGACCACAAGATCTGGCCCATGGATTTCCTTGACCGGATTTCCAACATGGCGCTGTTAGTGCCTGGTTCCTGTGCTTGCCCTTTTTGTGAGTTTAGAGAGCAGAGGACTTGGTTTATTTGGATTAAATGTCTTTGCTGTATTAACACTTGCACATTTTCCTGCAGCTGTATTCTCAGATGATGAAGGACAGCAAAGCCCTGGTTAGTTCAACTTTAGAGAAAGCAGATAAAGACAACATCTATAGAAACACAGTAGTCATATCCCCCAGAATTTATGTTTACTCAGTCTATTGATTTTATGTGTGCTAACAACAGTTCAGGCCATGAGGCCAGCAGGTTAAGATCTTGATCAAGAGTGGAATTGATTGATAAGTCAGAAGTAACCATCATTCCTTTTGGCTTAGAGATCTCCACACTTCCTCTGTCCAGGATCAGGCTTTATTTCTTCTGCAACACATTGAGAATAAGACACGACAGGGCTGTAAAATTTCCATATGCAGGAAAGCTTTATTCTAATTATTTAAATACACAAGATAAATATTTTACTACAGCACTTCGATTGTTAATGGTAGAAACTGAGATCTGGATGGAAGGAGTGCTTCATATGAAGGCTCGTTTCTCTGTAATACTGTTCTTTCTGGCATGGAATTCAGATAAATAAAATAACTTTCTTTTCCATCTCCTATATGCTTTTCTTTTTCAGGTTACAAAATCTGTGCCCAATTGTCTGGGACACATGATTCTTCATACTCAACCTCTCCTGATTTGTGGGGGCGATGGATTTACTTGTTCCAACTTTGATGGCTGCATAGATTCTGCCATGAGTCTTGCAGAGGCTGTGAAGTCTCATTTATAACAATTTCAGTTATCTGCTAAACATAGTCTAGATTTATGATGGATTTAACTATGATGGATTGCATTCTAGTTTAGTATTAACACCACTAGCCTCTATCTTGCAGAAATTAATAAAGTAATAAAGGAAGATTTATTGGTGTATTGTAATAATTCTTGGAATGGAACTTAATTGAATTTTCCAGGATATGTGCTTTATGAGTGGTTACTTTGCTTGAAATCTCCAGTTAGAGCCACTAAGTTCTAACAGCCTTGTCAGATCTCCTGATGCTTTTACAGCATACGAAAATAATGTCAAGGAGAAGAGCCCAACCTGAAGGAGCATAAAAACCCATGGAGCTACAAAGTTTGCTGCTGTTTTGAGTATTTGGAGCTCCGGACATGACAAGAAAGAACATGTGCGATTGATCGCAGAGGTGTCGTAGACCTGTGGTCATTTCTGTCAGTGCAGATCAGCAGTGGTCACAGGTGTGGCCATGGTGAATCAGTGATGGGGCATGCCTTGCTATGCTTCTCAAGTTGGACAGCCTCCACAAAGTCTAACAACATCTACTCAAACTCTATTTCTCCAAGTATGGCAAACTTGGAGAAAAAAAAAAAAAAAAAAAAAAAAAGTGAGGGATTGTAGTTCTCTGCCACCCAGCTCTCTTAACCTCCAGTGTTCTGGAGCCCCATTTGCAGGGTGGTGGAAGACCTCATTTATTTCAACAGCTTGATGCTGCTGCTGGAAATGATGTGCTACTGAAACGATGGTACCCGTGTTGGCTGTGGTCCAAGCAACATCAGCCCAGCAGTGCTGGAAGAATAAAGGATGGAGATAAGGTGAAATAGAAGCTGTGCATGTTTCTAATGCTCTCATAGAAATAGGGCTGCTGTACCAAAGGCATCTTGGGACTTACCTTGACATCTGGGCTGTAACACAAGTTTAACACAGTAAAAGATAAAAGAAGGTAAAAGTAAAAGAAAAGAGATGCACTTTAAATAGTTCAGTATTTGCCAGGTTTGGCTAGTGCATTATGGCTCTCTGCAGTTTCAGGCTGCCCTGCATGAGGAGCAGCTTTTTCTACCTCCAGGTGAATGAGCAATCAGGTAGGAGCAGCCAATGTGGAAGATGGGTTGGCTGCTTTCTCTGGCAAAGGAGGAGGAGGAGGAGGAGAAGTAATTGAAGTGTATTCCATGGCAGCATGTTAATAAGAAAACTGCAGACATTTCTGGCTTAGAATTAAATCACTGCCACCATAAAAACTCACTTAAACAGTCAGTCTGAAAACAAGGTGAATTCTAGAAGCTCTATACTTTTTTTTGCAAAACTGGTGTAGAAATACAGGGGCAGGTGTAGGGAAGAACATAAATACACTTACGAATGAATGAACAAGGAATTTGATTTGAAATCCTAAAATAATAAACAGCAAGTGTAATTGTGTTGAAAATACTGTCACAGTTACAAGTATTTTTAAGCTGCGAAACTGTGTCTGGGAAATTAATTTTGAAAGTGCTTAGAAATTAACAAATCATTTATTCTAAATTTGATATTAACTTGCCCTTCCTCCTCAGTCATGCGTCACAAGTTCAGCACCTCTCTGTACTCCAGCACTAAAATTATCAAAATATTATTTACAGCAGGCAAAATTTTAACCCTGCATCCATTAAATAAGTACAGTTAAGCCTCTCTTTTTTAAATGCCCACATTTCACAAAAATATGACATCCTACATTCATGGCAACTGAACACAGTAGTTTCCTGCTGCATTTGACCATTTCTAATAGAGTATTTTAAGTGACACCAAAGTTTAAGGTTTAAGTTAGTTTTTAAAATATCTTTTAAGGATATTTCATGACACCAGCTGGTTTTATTGATTTATTTCTTCTTTCCTTGCAGAACCCAAGTTTAAAACTACATGTTATTGTTGTGTAGGCATCATTCAGCTCCAGACCTTAGGTTTCCATCACTACATGTTGCTCAGAAACAGGAAAGAGTGGTGAGCATTTATGTGCACAAATTTTATACAAGAACACATGAATTCTTGTCTTCCAAGGATGAAGGTAGCCAAGAAGAGCCACATGGTAATGGAATAAATCTAATCTGGTGAGGAATTTAGTATTGGCTTGATCTAGTGAGAGCTCAGAAGCAACCAAAGTCCAAGCTGAAGCAGTTTGATTTTGCAGTGCTGGAAAACCTTAATTAATGAACCATAGCTCACTGAGGATGGCATACAAAAGCAATGAAGCCACATTTTTCAGATTGCTCCTCAGCTTCCATCCAGGCCTAGGCATCCTCCAGGAATTGGTTGCCAAAATAAAAACATTTATTCTGTGGTGCTGGACCATACAAGAGGATTTACCACTGGGTACTCAGTTCCCCTGGAAGGTGCCACCATGACAGTGGGGCCAGCTGTTGCTGGTGGTGATGATGGTGATGATTAGTGGGGACCCATCCCACCAATATCCTTTCGTCCAAGCCTTAATATACAGAGATTTTGCATTAAACCACACTAAACTTGTACTTCCTTCCCCTCCTTCAATTTTGAATGGAATTGAGTCAAACTACTGAAAATCCAAATAAAGATCAATCCTGAAAAGTGTGTGACATGCAGAAAACAGAAAATTAGCCATCTTTGACCCAATGCTACATTGTTCCTCTAGCTGCCTCATAAAGAGGCATGCTTCAAGGAGTAAAGATGCATTCACAGTGCTATGGTAATAGAAGCAGATTTAAATACCACAAATGACAGATAAGTGGAAATGTTTCTGACCGCATTCTTTCAGCAATCTTACAGCTTTGGTCATTATTAGACTTCAAAATACCCAATAATAAACAAATCACAGATTCAGAGATTTTAAGGCCAGAATCCTGACTGAACTTGAATCATGATGAGTAACAAAGGGTAATTGCTCCCAGCATTCCCAATAGCATGCCAATCTATCAAAATGTATCCTTCCAGTAGTCCAAATGCTTCAGCTGAATTAAAGCATTTCAGCTCTATTGTCTTCCTCATCACAGGGAAAGACTGGGTCATAAATGCTTGAAGCCTTTTAACGCACAGTTGCTTTAAGTTCCACCCAGAGAACATCACTTGGCTGAGCCCACCAGTGCCACAAAGCCTGTCCCCAAAAAGTGATTTTAATGGCATGCTTAAAGAGCTTCCACTGCTCCCATCTGCAGTTCCAGCAAGGACAGATCTGCGTGTCTGGTGTCCCATGAGTGGGCAGATGATGGGAGCAGATAGCCCCCACCACAGGAGTTGTGGTGGGAAGAGATGAGCCTGGGGGCAAAACATTCAGATCTAGGCTGGACTAGTTCTCAGGTGAGAAGCTGTGGATGTGTTCAGTAGCCCAAGCCTGTAAGCCCATCCTGAAGACCTCCTGAAGGCCAGGACTCTGCCATGGCCAGTGGACATGTCCCCACACCTGGCTTACTGCGGGGGCAACTCTATCCCAACTGCTCTGTCCAGGGCTGCCTCTGCCAGGCTGAAAAGTAATGTCTTCTTGTGACTGTGCTTGCACCTAACAGAGGTGGCTGTTAGTTAGAATAACTCTCCCAGATCTGTAAAACACACTGTGCATCCCTGGGGAAGATATAAAGATGCTGTGATGGATGCAGTCTGTAGGAATGTAGCCCATTTCTAAAACAAGCTAGGAAGAGGTGATAGGTGCCCAGCTCCTTGGTTCACAAATTGCATGTCTCTAATGAACCAGGCTGTATTTTTGTGCACGCACATGAAAATAAATTGAGGTTGATTTAGGATTTTTTGGTTGTTTGTTTTAGTTGTTGTTTCTTTGTGTTTTTTCTTTGTTGTTTTATTTTTAAAAGGTGACTGCAGATGGGAGGCACTTCCCAGATAAACATACCTGGTGGGTTCCCATAGCACTGAGCTGTGAAACATCCCTTCAGCCAAAGCCACTGGAGCAAGACCTGCTTTTCCGGAGGCCAGGATTTGCTCATGGTCTTCCTGCCCTTGGGATATTTTGCTTGGCTATTCCGTGTTGCCAAATGCAGCACAACCAGGAGGCTGATGCAGGGGTCAGGAGCCCTGGAGCTCTCGGGGGCACAATGGGAACTTTCTGAGCTGACAAGTGAGCTCCTTGATCCGGCATGCCAAGATTCTGTGGGGACAAAGCTGTTTTTTGCCTCTAGTCCACACTCCAGCTTGGACATGCTGCTTGTAAGCTGCTTTGCAAGGCAAAGCTGAACCCCCCCAAATCCCAGAGCCGCCTGCTGCCACTCCACCTGTCTCACCACGTGGCCTCAGTGTGAGCCGCTTCAGGATTTTGCTTAACTCTGATATTTAGGTTGCACCTTCCAGGCCAGGCAGTGGTGATACTGCTGGTGTTTCCCAGTGCAGCCACAGGACAGCAAATGGGTCCTTGCCAAGCATGACCCCCATGAAGGCAGCTTGGGATGCAGCCATTGCAGGACAGAACTCTGATTCCAGCCCAAGGTGGGTCCAGATTACATTTCAGAAAGGGCTGAGAAATGTTCCTCACATGGAAGAAAATATATGGAAACCCAGCAAGGAAAAGCCTCGTGCACTGAGCAGCTTGTGGCTTTCACCCTCCTCTCTGATGGCTCCAAAGATCTGGGGGATCCGGTGGAGCTGCACAGACAAGCATCACTTGGGCCTGCTTGCACCCTGGCTGTGTGAAAGTGACCCTGTTCCCTGCTGTGCTGGCCACCAAGCACCCCACCAGTCACAAGGACACTGCGGTAAACCACAGCTGAGCTTGAAATTGTTTTCAGCACCAGGTTCCTGCTGAAATGTAAGGCACCTCCTCCCTCACCTATGCCAGTGCCAAAACATCCTTCCTTCCTCAGCGCTATCGCCGCTCAGATCTCTCCTCCAGGAGATCACGCACATGAAGATCTTTGAAGCAAAGTACGCCTTGCTGCAAGGGCTGAGATCTCATTTCCCCGGTGCATTTTGGGTCATGGGATTGATGCTCAAAGCACATGCATGGAGCCCTGTGCAAATTTGGCCATCCTCTGCCCTTTTCAGCCCCAAAAAAGAAGTGCTGACAAGTGATTGTCAGCACCGGAATATAGGTCACAGCCTCTGCCCTGACAGATACTTTCCTCACTGCGGCAGAGGGGAAGGGGATGAGATCAGCCCTCCTCATTCACCACCTTGTCAGTGCACAGAAAATCACAGAATCACAGAATTGAAGGGGTTGGAAGGGACCTCAGAAGATCATTGGGTTCAACCCCCCCTGCCAAAGTAGGTTCCTTAGAGCAGGCTGCCCAGGTAGGCGTCCAGATGGGCCTTGAATATCTCCAGAGAAGGAGACTCCACAACCTCCCTGGGCTGCCTGTCCCAGTGCTCCGTCACCCTCACCGTGAAGAAATTCTTTCACATGTTGGTGCGGAACTTCCTGTGCTCTATCTTGTGGCCGTTGCCCTTGTCCTGTCCCCACACCACTGAAAAGAGGTTGGCCAAATCCCTCTGTCTCCCACACCTCCGGTATTTATACACATTGATGAGATCCCCTCTCAGTCTTTTCTCCAGGCTGAACAGACCCAGGTCTCTCAGCCTTTCCTCACAGGGAAGATGCTCCAGGCCCTGTATCATCTTTGTGGCCCTCCACTGGACTCTTTCCAGGAGATCCCTGTCTTGCTTGTACCGGGGAGCCCAGAACTGGACACAGTACTCCAGGTGAGGCCTGACCAGGGCAGAGTAGAGGGGGAGGATCACCTCCCTTGACCTGCTCCTTTTAATGCACACCAGGATCCCATTAGCCCTCTTGGCCACAAGGGCACACTGCTGGCTCATGGTCAACCTGTCATCCACCAGGACCCCCAGGTCCTTCTCCTCAGAGCTCCTCTCCAGCAGGTCGTCCCCCAGCCTGTACTGATACATGTACATGTGGTTGTTCCCAGGTGCAGGACTCTACACAAAATCCCAGCTCAGCTCCCCAAAACCTAGTGGAACATAGCCTCTCAGTTTGCATCTGCCACTGGGTGAGCAGTAAATATGTGTGTGGCTGTTCCCCATTGCAGAAGAAACTGGGTCTCACTGAGTTTCATCACTGGTACAAAGAGATCTACTGCTGGATTTTTGTTGTCCAGCTACTCACAGATGTGTTAAAGGCTGTGCATTATAAGTGCTATTTCTATGGAGCTGGTGGAGAAACTTTGGTCCAAAACACAGTGTGTCAGCACCCTGCACCCTTGCCGTCTCTCTTAGCACACCTGGGCACTGCAAAGCCTGCTCTCCTTTTATGTAAAAGAAGGTTTTGGAGATCAGGTTGGGAAAGTGAACCACAAAGGATTGGAGTGGGTATAAACAAAACCCTTAATGTATCACGATACAGGATTTAAGACAGTGTCCCCTGGCTGGAGGATCTGGGGAGGGGAAGGGAAAACGGAGGGGGGAGAGGGAGGGGCTGTAGAATGTAACAGCTCTGGGTTAGGGAGAAAATCAGGTTTTCTAACCAGAACTTGGCTGGAGGTGACTTCAGGCTGTTTTGCTGTTCAAAAGGGCTCCTTGCACATGCATCTCCAGGACCATGTGCTGCAAACAGTGACAGCAAATTCAAGGGATCTGTCTGCTCCCTGCACCCCTCCTGCTTTGCAAAGGTACCTGCCCCCCAGTTCACCCCAAGTGGAGGTGCATGGCTGCATACAGGAGGGACCGTGATTTACCAGTGTTGTTGCTGGCATCGCAGTACCATGGCTAACCAGCAACATGGTGCCAGGTGGGCCTCATCCTGCAAGGACCATGCTATGGAGTTGTGTGCATCCATCCCCCCAGGAGTCAAACCTCCTTCCTTCCAGTCACTGGTACTGTTAAACACCAGGGTGTTCAGCCTCGTCTACTCTCACAGTCCTTGAAGTAGCTGCCATGGTTTTGGACCAAACAATTAACAAAGAGCTACAAGTTGAAGTGTTTTGTTTGCTAGCAGTTGTAGGAAAGTAATCCATGCCTTAAATTTCTTTTCTTTCCTCAAAGACATCTAAGAATACCTGTTTCTCATGGTACTTCTCCTCTTGCCTGCAAGTATTACTTTTTAATTTGGTCTATGAAAATGATTTGTTCCTGTATGGGTAATGTAAAAAAAAAAAAAAAAAAAAAAAAAGCATGATTTGTTGCTTTGGTTTTACCTGGAGGTCCTATGTGTAGATGAAAACCCCCACCCGCATGCACTGATGCAGCATAAACACAGAGGACTTGGTGGTGGAGCATGGTGCTCTACCTGGCCTTAGCACAATGAGTGACTTTTGAAGGAATATGATACTTAGCTCATGTACTAGTGAGAAAAGCAGAGACAGGACACTGGATGGCACGCTCAGATTTTTCACATCCCTTGTTGAGTACAGATGAACAAAACATGTATGCAAAACCCAAGGGTATTAAACAAATCCCCACTAGGAGAGTGACCAGAGGGTTAATTTTGTCACTCACTTTGTTGTCTGAATAATGAAATCAGTTGTTCTGTGGTCTCCTGAAGGGCTAAGCCTAGTTTTCTTGCAGAAAACAGTGTGCTGTGCTCTCAAAATGAATGCACTTATGGTGAACTTTGAGCTACACATCTGCTATAAGGAAGTAGCTCTTATTCCCAGTTGACTATTGCTAGCAAAAGAGCCAGGCTCCATCTATGTCTTAGCGCATTTTTGTTAGCTTCATTTAAGCCCAACAAGCAGAGCAGATGGGTAAAAACTATTTTTAAACCTCATTGAAACGCACTGGCAAACTTATCTTCTTGTGCCAGGTGAACCAGAGGTGAGCTTGAACAGCAAAGCTCCATAAATCCAAGCATTGGCTTCCCTGGCCAGCCACAGATGTGGGGAGGCTGTGTGAGGAATTTCCTCGGGTTGTGTTAGCTCCATGTCTCTGGATTGGTGAGTAGGGCCAGCTTCTGGAAGCCACATTTCCTTTCTGGATTTACTCCCTTGTGGGTGCTGTGTTTTCTATCTCTTTCCCAAAACCCTGCTTGGACCCATCCAGAGTGGGGTGGTCAGCAGGGCTTTTCTCTCCCCAACCAGTCCACACGTTCTGGGTTGATTTTTGGTGGTTTATGATAAAAACAGTCCTGTGGACATCCTTCAGGGCAGACAGCTTGCACACTCAAAATCCCTTGCTCCTGGGATGAAGGATGCCCAGGATGAGAAGGTGTTTCCACCTCCCAACAGCAATGTCTCCCAACACCAACCAAGTGAGGACAGCAAACAAAACATACTTGAACCAGAGCACACTAAGGACTAAGACAGCCTGCAGGTATTCCTTGCATTACGAAAAGCCACAGAAGGGAAACTGGGAGTCTAACCCATTACACATGTGAATTGTTCCTAATCTACTTAGGCTGTTACTTCCAGGTGATGCTGTTTGTGCTCTGCCCACCCATGCAAACTGATAAGGTGCCGAACCCCAAATTGCATCCATCTCTTTCACTCTGCGGCACTCCAGCTGCAGTTTGGAGGGTCGCTCAGAGCACCCTGCCCCATGGGATGGGTCCTGCCCCACTTGGCCAACCCAGACCCAGAAGTGAAGGAGATAACAGGCCTCTGTCCATTAATTGCTATATTGCAGTATTTCATCTAATTCCACCATGGTGGTCATCACATTGACAGCAGTGTGCTGGCTGTTGAAATAAAACCACAGAGAAGTGTCACCTCTCAGGCACTGCTGAGACTTCAGGTGCCACGCTCCTCTTTATTTGTGATTCATAAAAAAGCAAAACATCGGCATTAGGGAAAGGCATAAAAAGGGATCCAGATGCATCAACCCAGCTGAAGTATAAGGCGGACCAGGC